TGAAGAACAAAACGACAGCAACTTGTCTGTTCCCCTTCCCCCAACTCCCCAGCACTGTTCCCATCCCCCAATTCCCCAATAAAAAAAAAATCTTTAAAAAAAAAAAAAAAAAGAGATGACAAAGGCAAGAGGCTTTGGGTCAAAGCACAGGAGCATTTGGAACCAGAACATACTGCCCAGGAAAATCCCACTCTTACCACTGACATTTCCCAAACTGTATCGAGTTTGGATTCTGATGTATTTCTAGGAAGCACTGCTGCTGTTTTAGGTTTACTTACCAAGGCATCTTCTTTTCACCCTTTCCAGCTCATGAACTCTTCTGGCTGACAGCACAAGAGAAACTCCTAGTTTAGAGAGCTGGTAAGCCAGCTCCTCTCCGATCCCACTTGACGCGCCAGTCACCCACACCACCATGTCGGTCAGCTCCCATTCTATTGAGAAAAGAAGGGAGGATTGAGGGGAGAAAATAAACTATGAATTATTTTATCAAAGATTAGGAAAAAGAAGTTTTTTAAACAATAGCGCTAAATATGAAGGCATAATGTGTGGAGCTTAAAAATTTAAATATCCTATGTTAATGGCCTTGATTGTGGTGATGGTCTCACAGGTGTATACTTAGCCCCAAACTCATCAAGTTGTATGTATTAATTACGTGACATTTTTATATGATAATTATACCTCAATAAAGTGATTTTTTATTTTAATTAAATATCCTAAGAAAACAACTTCTACCCAATTTTTAAAAAGCATATGTGGTATATAAAACTGAAAACAACAAAGGAACAAGACAAACAAATGAAGAAACACAAACTTATAGACACAGGCAATAGTTTAGTGGTTACCAGAGTGGAAGCGGGGAAGAGGGTGGCAGGTGAGAGTAAAGGGGATCAAATATATGGTGATGGAAAGAGAACTGACTCTGGGTGGTGAACACACAATGTGATATATAGATGATGTATTACAGAATTGTACACCTGAAATCTATGTAACTTTATAATTCTCACCCCAATGAACTTTAATTTAAAAAAAAAGCCGAATACAAATCATATTAGTAACAGTTATCAACACATTACTTTGTGTATCTATCCCAGACTCTTGTAAGAGTTTTCTAGACATTACTTCAATATAAGCCCTATAACTCCAGGGTCTGATGTCAAGCCTCTACCTATCTATGTACCCGATCGAGGAAAGTAAGGCTAAGTAAATAGAAAGTCTGCCTGGACTCACTTTCTCACTTTCCTTCTCCATAAAATGAGGGATTCAAATAATCACTAAAGGTCCCATCCAGTTTTCAATTCTATTATTCTAATTTCTTGCAATGGAAGTATTGATGATGAATCTGAATATACTAAGTTGTACTCTATGGTATGGTGGAACCATCCTGGACTTTTAAAGTCATGTTGTCCGCATCTGTCAATCATATCTGATGGCCATGAAGTAAAGGTCACTTTGTAAAAATGCTCTCCAAATGCCTGCACTTTCACTTAAGGAGAATCCAGTAGTTCACCCAAGAGGAAACGCGTGTGACAGCGAGATGAAATGTTGTACTCTGCTTGTCCAACTACATTCTTGTTAAAGATCAGAAAAATGTTACAGTAATAAAGCCATGAAGAGTGGTTTATTCACCTTTAGTCCAATGAAAAACTTATTTGCACTACAGGAGATAACAGGTCTCTCTGATTTGCAGGCTCACTGTGGTGCAACGTTCTTCTGTACCTCATTTATTAAAATACGTTATTTATCAAAAATAGCAAGCAAGGCATCATTTACCACACATATTTCTGGATTTTGATCAGAAAATTTGAAAATCAGGAAACTAATTTACTGTTGTAGTCAAGCAATGCTAAGACCTCTAACTGTCAGGTTGACAGTATGAGCTCGAGAGACGGCTAGGGTTCAAATCCCAGCTCCATCCCACCCAGCAGCAGTGAAATGCTGTTGAACGTGGTGCCTTAACTTTCCACAACTGGAAAATGGGATTAATAATAATACCTCCTTCATACAACTGTTGAGAGAAATGACTTAAAACAGGTAAAATTCTCAGAGCAGTGGCTGACAGATACTCCTGCTAATAAAATGTCAACTGTAATCATTGCTAAAATTGTTTAACAAGAGGATTTTTCGGCAGCAAAACAGAATATTCACTCAATAACTTGTGTGTTACAATTTCTCTAGCCAGAGGCAATGGGGTTACTGACAATAACGGTTTAACATTTTTCATTACTTCCTATGTACTTAAACACATTACCTTTTTAAAACCCTCACAAGAACCTTATGAAATAAAAATTACCTCAATTTTATAAAAAAGGAAACTGAGGTTTACAGGTATTAATTTACCCCACTAAACTGTAAACACCTTGAAGGCTGGGACCCTGGTGTCCTCAAGTGCCTAGCACACTGTCACAGATGGGGTTCCATAAATAACTGTTGAATAAACAACCGAGAACCCTAGAAGAGCTGGGATATGAGCTCAGGTGCATCTAGCCCCAAAGTCCACAATCAGACTGTTAGCTTATGGTGATATGGTCAATTATTTTAAAACCCAGCTGCTGCTTAGTCATTCCAGAAAATGCCACTTGTCCATAGGAAAGAGGTTTCATGTAAATATCTGGACTAAGGATAGAAACATCCCAAATAATATGTCTAGGCTACAATGCTTTCCAATCATATGATGTGCTTTCATGGAAAGGTACAGTTGAGCCACCTTCCTGAAGGATTTTCTCAGGAATAGCAGAATGTATATTCAGATAGTTATTTATTCACTCAACTATTCATCGTTCCAAAACTCTGCAATGCTCAGGCTCTAGGGTAAATATTGTTTGTTGGCAATCAGTTACTAACTAGCACAGAGTTAACAAAGATTTCACTTTTACCCAAATATACGGATATCATTTAAATCCAATGATGAAAATCCCCAGGCTGACGGTTACCTTAGGACACCTGAAGTTCTGGCACCTTTCTCCCCACCCTGGAGAAGAAAATTGTTTATTCAGCACCAACTTTTGTTTACGAGTTCCACAGAATGTGGCATACACGTGGCCTCTCCTAAAAAGCCTCTGAAAGCAGATTCTCAGAGTTGGAAGCAAACATATTCAACCCTCAACCTAGTGTGAGGATTCTTGCCTCAGGCTGTTGACTAGTGTCCATTTAATTTTCTCACAGATAAGAAAGCTAGTTACCTCTGAGGCACTCCCTACTTTTGGGGGGCCACTCTAATCATTCAAGGGTTGAAGGATTCTTTCTTATACTGATGTGACCGACCTTTAACAGCTACAGACCAGTAGCAGTTGGCAGCAGTTCTGCCTCATGGCATCAGAAAGAATAAATCAAGCCTGTCTTGCACATGACAATCCCTCATTTATTTGAAAACAGCTGTTATGTCCTCCCTAAGTTAGCTCCCGACTTGCTTCTCTAAATAAACACCTCCAATGTCTGCTACCTTCCCTCAGATGACATGGCATCAGGTTTCCTCACTCTTCTGCACACACCCCTCTGCACAAGCTGTAATTGGTCAATGTCCCTATTGAATGGAGGGGCCAGAGCAGGACACAGGATTTCCATGGGGTCTGGACAATTCAGAGCAGGGTGAGGTAACAAAATTGCTTCCCTTGTCCCCCAGATGGGCTCTGTGAGGGCCTGGACAGTGGCTGGCCCCGTCACTGCTGTGTTCCCAGCGCCCTGCACAGAGGCTAACACATACAAGCAGGTTACAGAAGATATCTGTTGTTGGTAGTTTGTTGCTTCAGACACTAAACATCTCCCAGGCTTGCCTAATTTTTTCTGGCAGTCACTTCACAGTTGACTCATATTGAAGTGACTGTCAACTAAAACCTGAGTTTTCCTCACATATGCTGTTGTTGAGACATTTCCTACTCTGGACTGTGCCACAGATTTTTTTTTTTTACGGATCAAAGTGCAATATCTAAAATTAGTAACACTTAAATGTCACCATGTGAGATATATGCTTGGAAATGCAGAGAATTTCTCTAGGAGACATAAAATGCGGGAAATGGGGGTTGCCTCCAGGGAGGCACGCTGGATAGCTGGATTGGAACAAGGGTGGGAAAGAGCTTTACTTCTCACTGTATATCCTTTCATATTTTTAATTTTCTATTATGTGAGGATATTGTCTATTTTTTAAAGTGACAAAAAATAATAAACCTACAGAGAAGATAAAGAGGGTAAATTATTTTTTACCTTGATAGAGTTTGCCTATCTTTCCAGTCTGATCGGTTTTGGAAACCTGAGTCTATCTCCATGTTCCTTTAACTTGTTTTCATTATCATCCCCACCCCGCAAGAGTCCTTTTAGTCTTTTTTTTCCTAATAACTCTCCTATGAAATTTTAATTCCATAGATATACTGTGTACATGTTTATACACTGTACATATATCTGTGCTTTATACATAAAGAGTTCTATAAAGTTTACTCTTCAGTCAATGCAGGTTTAAGAATGGCTAAATTTAAAACTTAAGTTAAAAGTTAAATTAAAAATTAACAGCTATTAGCATTTAACTTGATTTTATAATTGTAGTTACTGAATAGCTTTTAATGTAACATATATACTTAAATGGTAATGTAGCAAATAACATGCAAATTAGCAAATTATATAATTATATAACAGCAATGTAATTAAATGTATTAAAAATTCTTCAAAACTTTTGTTTTTCCAGCAAAATGAAAAGATTGAAAAAATTAAATAAATATCTTAAAATTTGTTTAGTCATCTTAACTTTTAACTTTAGCTTGATATGTGAAAATAATTTAACTAGGTGCTAGGTATTGTCAACATTTTTCCTTTTCAGCACCTGACATAATTGATGGATTGAATAATTTTTGTAGAATAATAAAATATAAACTATTCTTGTGTAATTCTCAAAGTCCAAGTTAACACAAAAGCACTGAGGATCAAACACAAACATCCATAAAGTAGTCGGTAGGCATGTGCATTCTATCTATTGAGAGGCAGCACATGATCAAGAGAAAGTCAGCCAATCACAGCCATCTATATTTGCCATAGCTCTGTGGCACTGACCTTGTGAATGGGTAGTGTATTTTCCATGAACTCAACACTGTCAGTGAAGCACATGTTATATCACCCCCCCCCCAAAAAAAGAAAAATGAAATACTAAGGAATAAGATTTTGTCGGGTAAGGTTGAACTTTGGAGGGACACAAAACACTGTACCATCTAAGATATCTTGTGGGGTTTTTTTTGGTGTGGTTTTTTTTGGTCCCAATAACCAATTTTCATCCCCATGGAAGCGATACTGCTTCCCTTCTCTCCTGGACCATTTTGAAAGCATACTAGCTATTACTTCCAAGCAAACCTCCTCACATGATGAGTGTTTTCATACAGGAGACCTGGTGTCGGGAAACCCCTTTCCCCAGCCCTTATGGATCCAAAGCCTAGCTTTGGAAGGTCTTTAAATTTCTCTGAAGACTGGTTTTCCTACCTGGAAGATAAGATTAATACAGCCTACTTTGTAAGAATCGTTGTCAAGGACAAAGGTCAAGTGTGTAAAAGTCCGAGCACACCTTAGCCCATAGAATGTTTTTAGGAACCGATGATCAAATATTAAGTAGGGCACAGGTGCAACTGGGACAAGGCAGAATGCCCCTTAGTATGCCAATAATGTTCTTGCTCCGGGAAAAACGACTATCCAGTTCTTTCTAGGATTATACTGTTGTGTATTCTAATGAGTAAGTAGGTGGATAACTCCAGATTATTTTGAGAAAGGGTATTTTAGCTGCTCTAACTAAAAATCAGTAACCAAAATAAAATATAGAGCCTTTCAAATTCTTTACCCGGCATATTCCATGGGGATAATCACGAGTACTTTTCAACAGTTTCAACATGAGAAATAAATGATTACAGAAAGCAGTGCCTGTTTTTTTTTTCTGCATCCTGATAAAAGTTTGCGTTGAAGAATAAATGTTTCTAAACTCTATTCTCAGACTCCCCAATGCCACGGGGGACAACCCAACCTTATCTGCACACGCCTTCTACCTGTTGGTGTAAAACTGTTCGTCACTGCAGTGTATGTACTTCTCGCTGACCCCTCTCCCTGTATAAGCATCCCTCACTTTTCCAAGTCAGAGAGCACCGTTTCAAGGCTTCTTGGAGCTCTGCTCTCGGGCATGTCCTCTGTTTGGCCCAAATAAAAATTATCTTCTTAAATTTACAGCGGTTCAGGCCTTATTTTCCTTTACAATATCAAGTGTTGTAAATGTGGGCACTATTGCAAAACTCCAGGAGACTGAGAAGTGGAGAACGAACTTCAGGAAGTAGAAAACCCTAGCTCCAGTCCTCAAAAGGAGGCTGGCTCCGTTACCAACCAGGGGGGAAGCGTGCTACTTCCTTAAGTTCCATCCTCCGACCCTGCGTCACAATCCCTGGGAGCTCGGTGCGAGTTCAGGGTCCTGAGGGCGCCCCGCTGACTCCAGCACTCTCTTACTTTGGCACCGGGCAAGTCCAGCCGACCAGGAGAAAAGACAAAGAGGGCAGAACCGCCTCCTCCTCCCCTACCCGCAGCCCCTGGGAAAGGCTCAGCCTTGCCGCGCGGAAGCTCCACGCCACCCAGAGAGATGCGGCGGTAGCGGAGACTCGGCCGCAGCGGGGCGCGGCCTCCCACTCCCGAGGGGCGGCTGCGGGTCCTCACCTGGGCGTCGCCCCTGCCACTCGGCCCACAGCAGGGTCAAGTCGCCATCGGCCCGCAGGAAGCGCAACAGCTGCACCACGAACGCGAGCAGCGCGCCCAGCGCTAGCAGCGAGAGCAGCAGCTCCCAGCTCATCGCGGTCCGCGCGCCGGATCCGCGGGAGAAAGAAGAACCTCGCGGAGCCGCGGAGCAGCGCTCAAGGACCCGCGCGACCGCCTCCCAGCCCGACTGCGAGCAGCGCCGCCCGGCTCCGCCCCGCCCCGCCCCGCCCCGCCCCGCACACTGGGCGGGGAGCCACCCCTGGACTGCGCGCGTGGGCGTGGGTGTGCCCGCACGTCGCGCCAAGTGCAGCCGGCCTGGCCATAGCTGCGCAAGTTCCGCCTGCATGTGCGCCTAATAAAGGGTCACAGTAGGAACAAAAGGCCTGGATGGTTTAGTTACTTGGTAATACTCCTCTTGGCACATTAGCCATAGGATTTGTAATAGCAAGAATGATTCTTTAACAGCTGTTATGAGGGCAGAGAGTTTTCAAAGCTCTGGTTCTGTCAACAGGAAGAGCACAGATAGTTCAGCCTGTGAACGCGGCCTCCTCATTTTTCTTTGTTTTTTTTTTAACAAAGTGAATGGAACAAACCATCAAATTTGTTTTTCACCCCACCCAACCCCCCCCCACCGAATTAACTCGTCTGAGTTGAATTGGCCCCGTGTCAACTTAAATTTGGGAAGCACGTCGCAAATGACACTTGTCCTGTTGCTGGATAAGGAAGTGCAGCTTCAGCCAAGATTATCCATGAGCACTGGCGCTAGGAGCACGGATTGGGGGCCTCAGCCAACCCAACTGGAATTTGTAGCTGCACCGTTTTTGGTGACTCTGAGTAAATTATTTCCTTATCTGTACCCACAAAGGATATGTAGGAAGATTTAAAAGACGAAATACATGTGTTGGGCACAGTGGCTCATACACAGTAATTATATTTTTTTGTAATTACTATTAATCATTATTGATTATTTACTGTTTCCATTATTATCATTTCTTAAACTCCAACCTGAAAGGCAGGAACTTTGTTTATAAACTTCTATATTCTGCACCTATAGAGTTCCCTTTAATGTGAAAGCAACAAAAATATTTAAACTGGAATGAATCAGAAATTGCTGTGATGTGGTTTTGGATAACCCGAGGAAGCTGGAGCTAGCTAAACTTTATTTTGATTGTTTACCCCAATTACAACTTGGGTAATATTGCTCAAGACTTGCCCTCATTGACTTGTCACTTTTGCAATCGGGGTTTTATTTTCCTTATGATAAATGACTTTTAAAATAAGGTGGTTAAAAATACTACACTGAGTCTCACTACAGTGAACAAACTCTATTCAAAAGTTTCCTCTGAGCCTGCTTCCCGTTCTGTAAAATAAAGAGCTGAGTTAGATGTAGTGTCCCAAGCTGGACCATACCATGGATGCGTAAACTGGATTCTCTATCACAGGTTCCAGCCGTGGGGAGGGTGAAAGGGGAACAGAGTTGCAAATGGCAATTATGGGAGTGGGAGAAGGGACAGCAGGCCCAGGACTGGGAAAAACTACCACAAAGAATATGATCTCTGATCTGTCCTGCCCTAGAGATTAACTAAGTCTGTGTGAGTCCTGAACATCTGAGTCTCAAAAATACGTGTGTCTTTTAATCTGATGATTTGGTCCAGTATAGATTCTGATTCATTCCAGCGTATGTACTTGCTGTAAACTTATATACATACATTTATGTTTATGCATTTATTAATTTACAAGCTGTGATGGTTAATTTTATGTGCTGACTTGGCTAGACCAGGATACCTAGTTTTTGATCAAACACCAGTCTAGATGTTACTGTGAAGATATTTTTTTAGACGTGGTTAACATTTAAATCAAAACACTTTGAGTAAAGCAGATTAGCCTCCATAATGTGGGTGGGTGGGTCTCATCCAGTCAGTTGAAGGCCTTAAGTAAAAAAAGACAGAGGTCTCCCTGAAGAAAATGGAATTCTGACTCCAGACTGCCTTTCAACTCAAGCTGCAACGTCAACTCTCCCTTCAGTCTCCAGCCTGCCAGCCTGCCCTGCAAACCTCAGACTTGGCAGTTCCTTAAAATAAATCTCTCTTTCTCTGTGTGTGTGTGTGTGTGTGTGTGTGTGTGTGTGTGTTTACTATTGGCTCTGCTTCTATAGAGAATCCTAATACACAAAGTACAGCAAAAACACACAGTCACCTCATCAGCAGTTCTTACATTGGAAAATGAGAACAATAAATTAATATACAAATGTCAACATCAGAAATTTCATTTTGCCTGAATAGAGGCATAATTTTGGAATTCAATTACAATATATGTTTAAAGAATCCGTCACTATCATCAGAAAAGCAACTATGGTAACTAATATCTTTGCAGTGCAGAATTGTCCTCAATTTGTTCCTTCACCCGTGAAGAAAATCCAGCTTCAGAACCTGCTGCCTCTGGGGAAGACGTTCAGCAAGTTCTTTTCACAAATGGCAGCTGTCGGGATTGCCTCTTCCCATTTTGCACAGAATTTATCTCAGAAGTTGGAACCAAAGTGCTCAAAGCAAACGAAAGACAGATAAACAAAATGAAGGACTCTCCTGAGGCCGGTGGGCCAGTGGGACCTCGGCTTCTCCTGGATCAGTCCACTCATGAGCTGACAGAATTTTAACCACTTAAATATAATATTCCAATAATTAAAAAAAAAACTGATTCGAACGTAAGCTACATTATTTCCTTTATGGATAGGGAAACTTAACCAACTGCCAAGAGACAAGGAGAAAATCACTGTCACTTTGAGCCCCCCTTCTCTACTTCCATTTGGAAAGAGCATTGGCTGCTCCCTCTCCTCAAGTACCGGTATCTTTCCATGAGGCCAGGGCAGTGCTGAAGAATGTGGTCACCCTGCGAGGCCCTACAGCCAAAGCAATGGTCCTTCAGTTAGGGCGGGGTCCTTTCACAATTAGAGAAAAAGCACCAAAACCATATACTATATTTCAGCATCCTACAACGTGATTCTGACAGCATGCAAACTTACTCTCAGCTGAAGTATCTGTTTTGGCAAAACCAAATCCTACTTTGGCGCTAAATCCTCCCCTGCTGAAGCCATGATTCATACTCTAATAGTAAACAACACAATAAAAACAGCAAATGAAATCAAAACACCATAGTGTAATTACACAAAATATTAAGATGCTATTCTTGATGAATTTTCCACCAGAAATGAGCTTCAAAACATTGAATTGCTTTCTACTAAACACCTACATATGTTAGGCATCAACCGCAGCAACTCTCTTAGTCTGAAGCATTTAAAAGCAAGGGAGTTTCAATCCACATGCCTCATTGGGACCCAGTTAGAGTGCAGAGAAACTAGGTTATGGCTGCAAACAATGAATTGTCAAATGGAAAAAGTTCTAGATGTTGATGCAACAGAATTCCTATCCTCTCTAGTTCCTGGAATATCTTGTACAAGGTCTGACAATTAAGTTCGTGAACTCATCCAAGAAAAAGTGCTACATACTTCATTGCTGTATATCACTACAGTCATGTTCTAAGTACTCCCCTTGGGAAGCTATGCACTGACACCAACGCCTAGTCCACCCTACAAAGCAATTTTGAAACTCTTTTTCTGGAATGGCCATCAGAGCTGTCGTTGTATTACCCTTCATGTCCTGAATGTCATCAAAATGCCTTCCTTTTAATATTTCCTTTATCTTCAGGTAAAAAAAGAAGTCATCAGGGGGCAGATCAGGTGAGTTCCAATACAGTGATTTGTTGACTGGCTAAAAACTCCCTCACAGGCAATGCCATGAGAGCTGGTGCATTGTTGTGATGCAAGAGCCATGAACTGTTGGAGAAAAGTTCAGGTCATCTAACTTTTCCATGCAGCCTTTTCAGCACTTCCAAATAGTAAACTTGGTTAACTGTCCAGTTGGTACAAATTCATAATGAATAATCCTTCTGATATTAGAAAAAGTTAGCAACATTGTTGTAACAAGTTCGGGAGCCTAATTGTTAGACCTGATATGCTCTGATGTCAAAGGCTGTTCCTTGACAGAAGCCAAATATAACTTTAAAACAGTAATGACAGTGAAAAAGATCACAACTTCACTCCTCAATATTTTATTTTCCAGTCTTGCCTACCAAACGTTCCCTTCCTTTTGTCTTGAAACGTCTTAAAGTATGTTACTTACAGTGATTAAATTTCCTTAAACAGCTCTTCCTTCTCTGTTTCCAATTCCATTGCAAACCTTCACTTCCCTTTCCCCACTCCCATCCTTCACTAGAATATTTTTTCTGGAAACACAGGCACTTCCTCCCTAGTCTCACCTCTTTTACAATTACTTGATAGGAACTATGTCTGATATTGTTCTCTAAATTATTTTGAAGGTTAATATATTATTGCCCCAATGGAACTTTAAGCTCTTTGAGATAACGTAGCAAAGTTGATGCTTCTTTTCAAGAGCCTACAATTCTTACCTTACGGTTAATACAACAAATAAGTCCACATTGAATTGAATTCTCCTGTCCTTGAAAGTTAAACTCAAGTTGATATTAGAATGAGAGTTATTAGAATTTAATAACTCAGTCTACTCTGAATGTCACAGAAATGCTTTGAATAAAGTCCCAATCGAGGCTTTTTGTATAATTGGTAATCTTAGTTTTTAATTCAAGCTGTGATAGAATGGTACCCCACCTTCCCTCGTTTTAGTAATGGTCACTTTTGACGGTATGAGATCAGGTCCTAACAGCATAGATCAGCCAAGATGAAGGCAGTTGTGTGTAAGTAAATTGTCACCTTTCATAATAAAAGCATCTATAAAAATAACTTTAAAACTCCAGATCCTCCAAGGTTGGCAATCTCTGGGGGGGGGGGGGGGGAGAAAGAAACTGTGAATGAAAAGAGGGACTGAGTAAGTCAGGGGAGAGAATATTCTCCCTGAAGAACAAGAGGTTCCTCAAAAAAGTTAAAAATAGAATTACCATATGAGCCAACAATTCCACTTCTAGGTATCTATCCGAAGGAAAAGAAAACAATAAAAAAGATATCTGCACCCCCATATTTATTGCAGCATTATTTACAATAGCCAAGATTGAGGCAACTTAAGTATTCATCAATGGATGACTGAATAAAGAAAATGTGGTGTATATACATGTACAATGGAGTATTCTTCAGCCATAGAAAAGAAGGAAATCTTGCCAATTGCACCAACATGGGTGAATCTTGA